GACTTGATGGCACATAACAACAGCAACAAACTATTAGGGACCTCTGGTAGTCTAGTGGTAAGAAGCTGTGCTGCAATTTCAAAGGCACACAGAGTTCAGATTCACTAGGTGTTCTTTGGAGAAGGATGGCGGGGGAGAGTCTCCTCCCATGCAGTTAATTAACTACCTCTGAAAACTTGCTGAAGGATCAGCTATGGATTGGTTCTGACTCGACAGCATACAAAAACAACAGACTGTTTTATTAGCATAGATCAGTTCTTATAAAATTGGATGGTAGTGGAAGTACTTTATATTGAAACTATTTGAACACAGTTTATCAGGTTTCATACTCGACTCTAACTCTTTTTTTAGTAAGGCAGTATAGAAGCAATGCTGTAAACTTGATGACTACTTTACTCAACAAATTTGATGTATAGCATTCTAGGCACACCAGAGCAGGAGAGAAAATAGTTTGATTCTAATTGAAAGTTTTTTGCACAACTACAGTTTAGACTGTAGTTAGAGATTACTTGTTGTTGCTGTTATGTGCAGTCGAGTCGCTTGCGACTCATAGCGACCCTATGTACAACATCCCTAAGCTCTGCTCTGTCCTGTGCCAATTGCCCCGTGTCTGATACACCCATCCCGATTACCCCAATCACTGAATCAATCCACCTCATAGGGGGCCTTCCCCTTCTGTGCTGTCCCTCCACCTTACCAAGCATGATGTCCCTCTCCAAGGACCTGTCTTTCCTTGCAACATGTCCAAAGTATGTTAGATGGAGCCTCAGAATCCTTGCCTCCAAGGAGCAGCCCGGTTTGACACTTTCCAGGATGAATCTGTTTCTTTTCCTAGCAGTCCGTGATACCCTCAATACTCTTCTCCAGCACCAAAGCTCAAAGGCATCAATTCACCTTCTATCCTCCTTATCCAACTCTCTGATGCATAACAAGTGATAGCAAAGACCATGGCCTGTATCAAACGCACTTTAGTCTCCAGAGAGACACCATTGCTCTTCATTACTTTGGAGAGGTCCCTAACAGCAGACTTTCCCATGGCAATATGTCTTCTAATTTCCTGACTGCTGGTGCTGAAAGTGTTGACTGTGGAGCCAAGAAAACTGAAGCTGTGAACAATCTCAATCTCTTCACCATCCATCCTGATGCTGCCAGTTGGTCCAGTGGTGAGAATCTTTGTCTTCTTGACATTGAGCCTCAATCCATATTGTAGGCTGCAGTCCTCGACCCTCTGCAGCAGGTGCTTCAGGTCCTCCTCAGTTTCAGCAGGCAGGGTTGTTCATCTGCATATCGCAGATTGTTGATAGATCTTCCATCAATCTTGACCCCACATTTCTCCTCATAGAGCCCAGCCTCCCAGATAATCTGTTCTGCATACAGGTTGAAAAGGTATGGAGACAGGACACATCCTTGGCATACGCCCTTCCCAATTTTGAACCATGCAATGTTACCCTGCTCTGTTCTGATTACTGCCTCTTAGTCCAAGTATAGGTTTCTCATTAGTACGATCAAGTGTTCTGGCATTCCCATTCTTCTCAGAGTCAGCCACAGTTTGTTATGATTCACAGTCAAACACCTTTGTATAGTCAGTGAAACACAGATATACATTCCTTTGGTATTCCCTGCTTTCAGCTAAGATCCATCTAACGTTTGATGCCGTCGAGTCGTAGACGACTCATAGCATTAGAGATTATTTAATGAAAAGAAAAACCCATTACAGTTGGACCTATAAGCAACATTATGATAAACAGAAAAAAGATATTGAAGCTGTCAAAGATTTCCTTTTACTTGGATCCACCATCCGTGCCCATGGAAGCAGCCACCAAGAAAGCAAGCAAAGTAGTACATTGTGCAAAATGGGCTACAGAGGACCTCTTTTAGCTCATTAAAAAACAAAGGTGTCGCTTTAAGATTATTTGTGTGTCTGACTCAGTGCCATGGTATGTTTCTTCAAATATTCATCTGATTGTAAAAACTGGACAAAGAATAAAGAAAACTGAAGAATTCTTATTTGAATTATGCTGTTGGTGAAAAGTACTGATATACCATGGTTTTCCAGAAGAATGAACAAATCTGTCTCTGGAAGTACAGCCAGAATACTTCTCAGTAACTAGAATGGTGAGACATTGTCTCATGTACTTGGGGCATGTTAACAGAGGAAATAGTTCTGAGACCCCAAGCTTGGGAACCTAGGGGGTCAGCAAGACCCTCAACAAGTTAGATGGGCTCAGCCAAAGCAGTGAGTGGAGAGGTGCAAGGCCAGAAAGTAGTGCATTCTAGCGCATGTCTCTGTGAGTGCAAACTGACTTGGCAGCACCTAACAACAACAGATTGATCAGTATGGAAAACCTCTGCCAAGCAAGATGATTTGTTCCTGTGTACCTGTGTAAAGCTTTATTATGTTGAGTAGAAAATAGTAACAGAGAAAGCATCACCAGACAGCACTTCTCTCTCCTTCAAGAGATTGGTATTGTCTCATGATGAAGTAGCTACATGACTTGGAGTAGCTAGGCTAAAAGGTGAACCTGATAAGAGGTTGTAGCCTGTTCGTCTCCTGGTCTGCCCTATACGTAGTTCTCAGAACTGATTGATTCTTTCTCAAAACTTCTGTTGAACAGTCTTGCTCCGAAGAAAATGCTTAATCCATTCCAAGCCAAGTTACAAAGACTTTTAAAGAAACAGTCTATCTTTATTTTACCTGTATTTATGGGTCTAGAACTAAAAATCACCTCGTGACATGGAATCTATATTTGCCATTTATCCCATAAGCTTTTTCAAAGTACACTCTTCAAAATATATATTCTTTTTACATTTATGTGGCCTGAAACTTTTGCTTCTTTGCTTAAGGGTAAAAAACAACTATGGTAATAACAAGAGGGACATAAATTAATGACAAATGTAGATTATCTAAAAAGCTGTTTATCACAGATAAACAAAGCCTTTAAAAAGCAGTCTCAATTACTTCAAATGCAGCAGATGGCTGTTACGTGAGATAAATGTACATAGTCTGCATCTGGGCCAGAAGCCAAATGCACTGTAGAACTTATTCATACCACAGAGCCAGGCAAGCAAAACAGGAGGAGAGAAAGAGGCAGTTTAAAAAGCTTGAGTGCTGCTTTAAGTCTCCTGTGGGTGATTATGCACACAGAATTAGGGTGTCATAAGTAGAAAGTGTTAGAGATCATGTATTGAAAAAGTTGTAAATGATGTGTTAGGCAGTGATTCTGTTGGCAAGTGGAATTTGTGCATGAGGTCTTTGAATCTGTGTCATTCTCTGATCTCTGGAGAAACTGAATATAGCTGACAATGAAAAGTTAATGTGGCAGGTTTTGAAGAGTGGTATCTTCTGGAGGGATCAGTGGAGCAGCACACTAGTAATCTGTGGAGACTGCTGAAATAGATCTCTGAGGTGATGTGCCTATGTGTTGGAGCACTTAACTTTTTTATTAAGAGTCTTAATCTAGAACAGGTTGATGAATAAGAGAAAAATTTCTTGTACATAGAGCAGAGTTTAAGAGTTCATTTTACTAGTAGAATCTAAAAAGGAATCTACATTTCTGGTATTGTCATTTCATCATTTAATAGGGAAATTAGTTGCTAAGGCAGAAATAGGTATTTTTAGCTTAGGTTTTTTAGTTAGTTCACTCAACATAATGCTCTCCAGTCTCTCCTATGTTATGTAGTATTTTTCAAATCATTGCTCCTGAGTGCTTTGTAGTTAGTATGCTATAGTCTGAATGTACCATAATTTCTCAGTGCATTCAGTTTGGGTTGGACTTTGGGCTGTTTCCGTGTTCTTGGGCTGGTGTAACGCTGCTGTGTGAACACTGATGTACAAATCTCCATATGTGTCTCAGTTCTAGAGACTAGCATATAATAGATAGCACGTAAATGAATGTTCTTATGTTCTAGTAAAATGTTAATGGAACTAAATGTATTCAATTTGAATTTATATAAATTTCACATGCCATAAAATACTCTTTTAGTTTTTATGAACCATATAAAAGTGTCAAAGTCATTCTTGGCTTGCCGACCACGCAGAAACGGGCACCAGACTGGATGTGGCCGTGGGTCATAACCTGCTGATCAGGTTGTGGAATATTTGAGTTTTCCTATATAATTTTTTTTCCACTAAACTTTATAAAATTTTTTCCTAATTTCTCATAGAATATTCATTATTCATATTTGTAATGAAAGTGATTGTTACTCTTTTTTCCTTCACTTGAAAGTGTATTTTTTTAAAAAGTTCTTCTGGAAAGATACTGTAAAAGACAAACTTTACCTTTTTTTGTTTATATATTTGATTCTAAGAATTGAATTAAAGTACATTTTGTAAAAGAGGCTTTTGAAATTATTGATAAGAGACTTTCAGTGTTTTGTTACATTTTTCTCTTGCTTACAGGTGGAGATATACTACGCCTTGATACACTTTTAGAATGGTGGAGAGAAAAGAATGGTTCCTTTTGTTCCCGGCTAATTATTGTATTAGATAGTGAAAATTCAATCCCATGGGTCAAAGAAGTAAGGAAAATTAATGACCAGTATATTGCAGTGCAAGGAGCAGAGTTGACAAAGACAGTAGATATTGAAGAAGCTGACCCTCCACAACTCGGTGACTTCACAAAAGACTGGGTGGAATATAACTGCAACTCTAATAACATCATCTGCTGGACTGAAAAAGGGCGCACAGTGAAAGCAGTCTATGGCGTTTCAAAGCGGTGGAGTGACTACACTCTGCATTTGCCAACAGGAAGCGACGTGGCCAAGCACTGGATGTTACATTTTCCTCGTATTACTTATCCACTAGTACATTTGGCAAATTGGTTGTGTGGCCTGAACCTCTTTTGGATCTGCAAATCTTGTTTTAGGTGCTTGAAAAGGTTAAAAATGAGTTGGTTTCTTCCTACTGTGCTGGACACAGGACAAGGGTTTAAGCTTGTCAAATCTTAATTGGCAGTCCAGAGTGGAATTTTATTCAGAGTTCATACTGTCATGTTTCACTAACTTGCTATTTTTTGTACTTTTTTTTTTTTTTTGTGGAAAATACCTTGCTACTTCTGTAGTTTCTCTCACTTTGCCATTTCTCAAGTTCTTATGGTATATGAAAGGTATTGGGAATAGGCATTAATTTATATACTAAAAGTGTGTAAGGAGTTGTATTCTGTACATGCATTAAAAGTGTTAGAAATAACAGTGCTCTTTGACAAATGTTTGCCTATGTCTTGGATTAGAAAACAAACCAACAGTTGTTGATGCTCTGCCATGGTCCATGAAGGATTATTAATGCCTTGTTTATTTTAGGCATAGATTAGAAAAATGTTGAACAGTGTGTGTTTACCTGTGTGAGAAAACTACCAATTTGCTTACTCAAGTTTCTCTTTGTGAACAGTAAGTTTGAATGTAAAACCATTGTTTTCCCCCCCTTTGGAACAAAAGCCTTTATAAAAGGAACTCATAACTTGCTTATAGTCGACTATCTTTAGATACCTTGGTTGTGATTTATTACAAGTATAGCAAAGACACCCAAATTATTTTTGTAGATGAAACTTTTTTCTTTAGTAGGTAACTGTGAGAGGCTGAAGTCCCCAAGTTGCTCCTTCCTGTGTTGTTGGGGCAGCGAAAGCACTGGTAATTTAAGTCTTTCTCAGGGTAACCTCATGTTTTCCTAATGCAAACTGTTTCCAATTATCAATTCCTTCCAAATAAATTGTCTTCCTTTTAAGAAAACATTGTTATATATAAAAATAACAATTTCTCATTGACACTTGGCAGTCTTAAATACTGAGAAGATTTTGATCTCTATACAGTTAAGTTCCTCCATGAAAATGTTCAGATTTCATTAGAGATAGTGTTTATTCCATTCAAAGTCAAAGGACAAGAAACAGATTATATTTATCTTTGTATAATTGTATTATGTTTAAAAAAAGTATCCAGTGTTCAAAATTTTAGTTAAACTTAATGGTGTGTTACAAATTTTAAAAGTTAATTCAGTGTTTTGTCTGATTAATACAGGCAAAGTAAATAATCTCCTATTTTCTAATAATCCTTATATTTTAGATTCCATCTTTCAGAAATGCTAAGAAGAATAGAATAATATTTGGTTATATTCTAGTCTGTGTCATTTAAATAGTGTGATTCCTAACATTGAAGCCATTTTCCAGCCTCAGAGAGAGGAAATAATGCCTCTATCTTTTTCTACCTGGTGACTTAAAAATTAAAGTTTTCATTAGAAAGAAGTCACATAGCATCAGGGAACTTGTACACCACTATCTATGCAGCATTGTTGAAGTCTGATTAATCCTTTGTTTTGAATGACTTTCCTACATCTTTGAATAAAATTTTGGTAAAAATGAGTTCTTTGTTTAATGTGCAAGTGACAGTTATTGAATGTTTCAGTATATTAAAAAATGATAGTAATTTTTAAAATTCTCGTTTTAAAAAAGTTTATGCTTGGTGGTAGATTTGGTTGAAAAGTTTTAATGTTTTAGTATTTTTATCAACATCATCCAAAGAAATGAAGAAGTACAAAAGCTAAGTGTTAAATTTATAGTTTAGAAAAAAGAGTTACATTTGATAAATCTTTAAAATGCTAAGTCAATACTGAGCAAATTAGCTTTAATGAAAGCTTATCTCTATACTCTGAGAAAGCCAAGTAGAAATTCTGTATTCTTTATGAAGTGGTATTAAATTGGTACTAAAACCAAATCATATTTCAAAAGAATAACATAGAACCACAAGGGTAACTTGTGTGTGTATTTGTTTGAATGTATAGCCAAAAAGAACTTTGGAGTTAAAAAAATTACATGAGCCAGTTTATTACATAAAAAAGGTATAGAATATCCATTTTGAGGAATTCTACTCAAAACAAAAAATTAAGATGATAAATGGCTCTTTGAAGGTAGGAAAGCAATGGAACAGGTTATCCTAAGTTAAAGCTGTCCATTTAAAAACGTTATAGTATTGTGGAGAGAAGAAAAATGTCAAGAAGGATAAAAGGATTTTTTTCACCTGAAGATTATAAAAAAAAAGAAGAGAGAGAGATCTGACCATTAGGGCTACTGATTTTCTCATGACTGTCACTGTATGTCATCTACTTAGTAAAGTTACTTGGAGTGAGAGGAATTCTTTTAGAACAAACTTTTATCATTCCACTAAGAAGAAATAAATAACATGGAGATGCTTTCAACATAATGTTGGTTTAATTTATTAGCATGTTACCTTTCTAAAGTCACAAAAGCACTTGCCCCTAAAAACACCATTTATAAACATGTACATTGTGAAGTGATAAATGATCATGACTTTTCAGTTATATAGTTACTTATTCAAAATAGAGTTTTGTGCAGTTTTAAATCTTCCTCCTTGGGAAACTTGGATGTTTTTTCATAGCTTTTGGTGTTGCTCTTCAGAACAAATACAGAAATCTATGGATAATACCCTTCTTCAGAAGGCTGTTTTATGACGGGTGCTTTCATAATGTGTATGTTTTAAAAAAAACAATTAAAATACATTCATATTTAATGCCTCAGATATTAGTTTTAATTACAGTCTTCATCAGAATCTATTTATAACTATGTATATTGTTTTTAATTTTTTCCTTAAATACATCTGTTGTTTTGGGGTACTGCCTCTGTATATGTATTCTTTCACTTTTTGAGTGTAATTTTTAAGTAATGTTAAATGTGATTTTTAAGTAATGTTTTATGTTACCTTTCCACGGGTGGTGTGATATTTAATATATGTATACTAGAAGAAAATTACTTAATTTAAGAACGCGATTAGGTGTATTAGATACTAAATGCTCAAGGCAGTTGAATCTGTCAGTACTTTTGGAAACTTCCTTTATTGTAAGCTACTGGGATTTTTGGACAGAAGCTTATATGTTTGTGTATTTCTGGTACACGTTTGCCTAGAATAATGCCTTACTTCTGTAAGGATGTATTTAAGACTTTTTTTTTTTTCACAGTGAATGACTTTAGAATCCTAGGGGAAACATCTAGGGAGCTCTGGTGGTCTAATGAGCAGAGAGTTGTGCTGCTGATGTGAGCATGGTGCCTTTCTGGGGGTTCACGCCCACCAGCGGCTCTGCTGGAGGATGATGGGCGGTCTCATGTAGTTTACAGCCTCTGAAAAACTACAGGAGGGTTCTGACTTGACGTCAGCGGGAAAGGGAGATCCAGAAAATGAGAAGAATTTAATTATAAATTATTCCATTTTCTTTACACTGTTATTTAAATGAATAGTAGGATCCTCATTAAGTATATAATTTAGTGAAGACTTACAGAACCAAGGAAAGGAGAAACAACAAATCCCATAGTTAAGAGAGTTGCAAAAGTCTTGATTGAAAAGCCAAAGCAGTTGCGATCCGGTAGGACTGGGCAGGACCTCCTGTAAGGTCTCCAAGGCTGCAATCCTACGAGGAGCCAAAGCTGCTCCTCCCACAGACCCACCAGACCTTTGGCTAGCAACCATGTCCTTTACTCTTGCACTGCACAGCTCCTTCTTCAAGATCCCATTAATCCACTGACATCAAAAAAGTTCTGACTCAGGGTGACCCTAGAGGATAAAAGTACCCTCTAGGGTTTCAAAGAACATAATCTTTTTGGAAGCAGACCGTTGCATCTTTTCCCTGCAGAGCAGCTGGTGGATTTGAACTGCCAACATTTCTGTGAACAGCTATGCACTTAACCACTGCACCACCAGGGCTCCTTGTATCAAGATTAGGGAAGGGGGAAAGGATTAAATGACAGTATAGCTGTTGTCTCCCAAAGACCGCTTTTTGTGGGTAATTCCATAAACCCTCATTTTTATCATGGCTTCTATATCTCAAGTTTTAATATTTTCATTTATTTCCCCATTTAGATTGAAGAGTTGTCTCAAATGACAATTATTTTGAAAAGTCTAACATGACAAGGAGTTTGACTATGCAGATCAAATGACAGTGTTGGGGAAAATAAGCCTCTCAGCCAAAGCGAGTTAAAGACACATTAGTGAAGACAAGTAGCTCATTTGGGGATTCTTCCCCCTACTCACTAGGTGCAACAGAGCAATAAAGGAGAAGCTGAAACAGAATATTGTTTGGGGAACTATTGATTAAAGAAACATATTTACATTTATTAGAAATTAGACCACAGCTTATTAGAAGGTGAAGACATTTTAGACTTAAGTTTTTTTTATATGTTTCATAAATGAAAGCTATATTGCCTGATTAAAAAAAAGTAAAATTCCATGAACTTGAACAGTCATCTTGTATGATGCCTACATAATATTTAGATACTTTTTCAAAATATGATGAACCTAAAGTAGCTAAAAGTGGATCATTTTGGCAAACCTTTGTTGTTTGGTCTGGATCTGTGTATCTCGAAGATTTTTTTGGCAATGTGTCAGGGGTAAGTGAGAATGTGGTATCTCTAACTAGACCAGCAGTATTTACTCCATCTTATGTAAAAATATTTTATATTAAAATACCAACGTATTAATGAGTACTATGCAAAATTTGCATTAACTTTTTAATATAAACACAAATTCATAGCAATATTAGTCTCAGAGTGAGTGATTTCTGTTTTCGTCTCCTTACCCCAGGAGCACAACAAATCCTTTGACCCAATTTAAATATTAATGATACTTTACACAGGATATTTTTTTAAAAAATCTTTTGTTTTATGGCTTGAAATTCAGATAGCACAATACATTTTCTCTAAACAAATCACTCCATATATATAACTATATGGAAATTTTAAGTGGGTGCCATTTAATGCAGTTTTATAATACTAGATTTTTGTAGGTTCTTTGGAGTCCTTGTACATAGGAGTTGCTTGTCTAACCCACCAGGTGTTTGTATGGAATAGGTGAGGATTTTAACTTGTAATCCCACATCAATGTGGTCTCCTGTATCTTTCTTAGGTAACTAAAAAGATTCCTCTTTCTGTTCAACCTTTGGCTTCCTTTTCACA